TTGTTCGAATACATCCTGATGGTGTGACTAGGGCAAGAGCCGCCCCCCCCCTTTTTTTCCAACTTTCCCCCACCCCCCCCCCCACCAAAAAAAAAAACAACAACAAAAAACAATGCAGTTGGCCTCAATATAAATTTTAAAAATGTGACGCCCAGGGAAGGACCGTCCCCTCCACCCCCCCCCTTCCTACACCACTGACCAATAGATCTCCTAAAGAAGGAATAGACCTTCTCATTTGATTGTATCCACACGTATATGGACTCTCTCAAACAGCATGATTACCACACTAAATAAAAGACGACCACAGCGTGTGGACAACTGATGACCATGGCAAACCGAAGTTTGCTCTCCATCCATGATCCACCCTCTACCCCCTTCTCTGTTTGCCCTCTCAACGGTTGACACTTTAAATTGTTATCTCTAAATTTGGAGCCGTCCATACGAGCCACAACGAAAGGGCTGCTGTATGGCATTGAGATAACGCACATTTTAAGTAGCTCGTACACTCGTTTTGACATATACTTGAACAAATATGTTGTTTACCTTATGACTTATACATAACGCGCGCTATCTCTGGCCGAGGTGGGTCTGTGTGGGGTGGCTGCTTTTAAGGCAAGTGACCTCGGGAGACGTAAGTATAATCAAACTTCGGGCAATATATGTGTTAGCTGGAGATCACTTTCACTGTGCTTAAAGATTATCTGCAGTCTTAAAATAACGATGGAATCTTGCAACGCGATAATGTTGTGTTTTGTACTTGTCGCTATATGATTTTCTCAATGGCCTTGTGACTGACTGCATACGAGGAGAATGGTTTGCCACGGCCCTGTGACTGTCTGCATACGAGGAGAATGGTTTGCCACGGCCTTGTGACTGACTGAATACGAGGAGAATGGTTTGCCATTACCTTCTGACTGACTGAATACGAGAATGGTTTGCAATGGCCTTGTGACTGACTGCATACGAGGAGAATGATTTGCAATGGTCTTGTGACTGGCTGAATACAAAGAGAATGGTTTGTCACGGCCTTCTGACTGACTGACTAATTACGAAGAGAATGGTTTGCCACGGCCTTGTGATGGACCGAATACGAAGAGAATGGTTTGCCACGGCCTTGTGACCGACTGAATGCCCTGAGAGATTTACAATACAGGACAAGCGACGAGACCATGGGACATCTAGTAGTGCTGTAGCCATGGCTTATGTGTTTGGTTAAGAGTCACATGCTACAAAGGCTTTGATAGGCTGCTGGTTGTTGCCCTGGCAACAGCACAGAAAAGTACAGCCGAAAGCTTTTAAAAGCCAGTGTTTATTTGCTTTGTCAAATCGTCCACAAGTTAATGGATTTCGCTGTACACCGCAGTGTTGTGGGGACTAACTAAATTTGTGTCGGTTGTTTGCGATTCATTAGTATGCCACATGGGTTCAGCATTTTTGCAGCTCCTCGTCCTCTCTTGGATTAAAAAACATTTATTTTCAGCACCCCAAACTTGATTTCAAAGTAAACCCGATTTTCTGGGTCTTCCCGCGCCCCTGACACTGCCACCTCCCCACCCCGAAGAGATGCGGGCACCCCTATATTAAGAAATAAGAACCCTTGCATTAGCAGAACAATCCAATGGGGTAAAATATATTTAATCTAACAAATGTGAAACACTTTGTTGCGAATTTCGAATGAAAAAACAGGCTCAATATATATATATATATATATATATATATATATAATATATTTAATCTAACATATGTGAAACACTTTGTTGAGAATTTCGAATAAAAAAACATGCTCAATATATATATATATATATATATATATATATATATATATATATATATATATATATATATATATAGACTATATACATCAAAAACGATTCGCTATAGTAACTATTAAAATCTACATGTTCTCCTATAAAAAAAACATTTTTAGCATAATTCTTTAACCATTGAATGTGGAGGTCAATCCCGCTTCAGTTCATATTACCGAGAGCCCAGTGCCTGCCGTTGTGCGCCTGCAATGCAGCTTGGTTGACGGGCGTATTTGACCAAGTGTCCAGGCGGATTGGTTTTGTTTTGTTTTGTGTCATACACTGGCTGCTTGGGATGGCACCAACCATGTGTCTCGGTTTCCTGGTTCCGTATGTGTCATACACTGGCTGATTGGGATGGCACCAACCATGTGTCTCGGTTTCCTGGTTCCCAATGTGTCATACACTGGCTGCTTGGGATGGCACCAACCATGTGTCTCGGTTTCCTGGTTCCCAATGTGTCATACACTGGCTGCTTGGGATGGCACCAACCATGTGTCTCTTACACTTTATTTGAGTCGTTCAGGCATTGTGTGCACACCAGACAATCATTGGAAAAAATAAAAAGACGATTTCATATGCACCGATTTGCGGGCGCGATTTGCAGGGCCGGATCTGGCTTGCAGTGTGAGAACCTCTGTGCCGGAGCACAGGTCTCAAATCCACGAAACGTTACCCCAAACCGGGATTTACAAAATGGATTTCTGTGGGGGGTCGCCGGCTGAAACAATCAAACCGGGTTTTACAAAATGGATTTCTGTGGGGGGGGGGGGGGGG